GCTTATTTTTTCGGGGTCCCCTTCAGAAGTCACATGTGAAAGGTTCAAATATTAAACGTAACTTAAGATAGGGCTTTCGTAAAATTTATATGATTAAAACGTAATTGACTAAAATAATTAGATATCTGCGCCCAGGTAAAAATTTGCCTGTATATTGTGAACTAAGATCGATATGGTAGAGACAACTAGATCCGTACAGTACAGACTGATTTTAAAAACTATATCATACCACTAAGCCACGATCTATGTAACCCCAACACCAGATCAGTATAGCATAGTTTTAAAATCTGCCGGTATTTTACAGATCTGGTCATTTATATCGTACTGAGTCTGACATAATTTAGAGCCTGTACAATACAGATCTGGTCACCTATACCATATTGATCTGCGTAATTTAGAAAAAAATCTGAATTCAATCCAATATCAGATATTGTTATGAATCGTACCAAATTTATTGAAAAAATCAATATTCCAAATGTTCACAAAGCAAATTAACCGCGTAATTAAGTCGATTACAATTGAATATTTTCTTATTTCATCTCAGTATCATCTGATAACTTCCTAAGAGATATATCGTATACAACTACACATTTAAGACACGTGAAGACCGTGAGTAACGAATGAAAAGAATGATTGTAGTCATTATATTAAATCGATATACCTTCTTCGATTTTTTTGATATTATACTTTCATAATTTAGGAAAAAGTGAATAAAAGAGTCGCAACATCGATAATAAATTAATGTGTATATATAATAATTAAATACCTTTATTCCATCAAAACGCCTTCTCAAAGCATCATTTTTCAGATTCAACAATTGGAATCCCGTATATAATTGTTGAACAAAATGTGAGATTCGAATTGGCCGATTATAATCACCAACTGTGACTGAGTTGATAGCGAGTCGAGACTATATTGAGGAATAAGTTGTAATAAGGGCAATAATAGAACTTTTCATAGGACATAACCAAATAAACATTTACCAATTCATTAGTTAAAGTAATAAAACTATGAAGGAATTCTTCGAGAGATATGTGAAAGTCCTGTAGATCATTATTTAGATTGATCTTGGCTTAAATCGATGCCATTGTATTCATTAAAAAAAAATTTAAAGAAATCACGAATCATACAAGAAGTTATATATGTAATTGAAACCTTACCACCAAGCAATGATTCTAATTCATTTGCAGTTATTAATTTTTCAGATTGGAGATAGATTGCAAATGCTGCAAGAAAAACTGAATTCTGAACTGTTCTACTCCAAAGTTCATTATATCTAATATACAAATGATAATATATCTTAATTAATCTACATCTACCTAAATTTGCATCACGAAACAAACCTGTAATATTGTTGATGAGGTACAAGTTTTGCAAGGTTTGTCATGTGCTGTCTAACTTCTTCAAATCTATCAATAGCTAATTTGCCGACTGTTGGTACTATATCCGAAACTACGGTTAATACAAGAATTCGTGCAGAATGTCAAGACTTACATATACATTACCTTCCTCGGCCTGAGCAGAATGAACTCTATTCAAAATAGCAGTGATAGCACGGCAAGTCTTATCAAAGTCTCGTACTAGCCGAAGTATTTCCTTTTAAGAAGAAACAAGAGACTAATGTTAATAAATGTTTCTGCGTTAAAGAGGATAATATAGTTTAAAAAACATTGAAACCGACATGCGTACTTCTTTTCTTGCAGCCTCTTCTTCCATCGCTGCATCAATATTGTCGAAAAAACTTAAATCAATAGAAGACATCTTTTTTATTCGTTGCTACAGTACTAAGTGCAATTATACACGATAATTTTATTACAAGATTCCTGTTATTTGATTAGAAATTTAAGTGTGATACAGACCAATCAGAATCCTTGGATATACAAGCAAATCGTTAAAAGCATTCGAAAACCGTATATGTACAATATTAACAATGGACCATAAACAGAATCAACCACCTTTAACTGTCAAAGAACCTTGTTATCGTTGTGCATGGTAAATTGATGATTTTAAACTTTAAATTCATTTAGCAATATGCCTTTCTGGCAATATATTGATATAGTCTTGATTTTTTTTATGCAGTGGGAGATTAATTCCGATTAGTGAAATCACGAGCAAACAATTAATATCTCCAAGGTTAAATTTTTTAATCTAAATATATGGTGTGAACAGCCTAAAGGCATCCAATTTGCATTCAATTTGTATCAATTTTTTTTAAATTGCATCTTCTCAAAAAAATTAAAATTGCAAAAAGAAGTAATCGATATTTTTTTAAAAAGACCTATCAGACTAAGTAAACTTTTTATTAAGAAGATGCATTCTTAAATTAAAATTATAATAATTTTCTTTTTTTTTTTTATAGATTGCTATTTGCACCATATTCAATTCTTAAGTTCAAATATTGACATTTGAATTATAATTTTTTGACAGGACGACTGCTTATCATGAAACCGTGTCTTCTTCACGGTTACCACATATATCAGCTCGTCGTCTTATAGAAAAAGCAGAAAGATATATTCACATTGATGGTCCATGTAAAACTTTAATGGATGATGTTTGCGATTTTACTCCGGGACAGAATGGGTTTTCAGTGGAAAAAAATGCT